GGGAGCTCTGCTCAGCCACAAGCCAGGCTGATGGCTGCCAGTACAGCGGTGGTGGTGGGAGCCTCTCCTGCCTCCTCAGCAGCGCTAAGGATGTCTGACTGCAGCTTAGGCCTGCTCCCCACTGGCAAGTGGACATCCCCCAAGGGCTCCCAGGCTGCCAGAGGGATGTCTGACTGCCAGCTTAGGCCCGATCCCCCCAGGGAGTGGGCCTAAGCCAGCAGGTAGACATCCCCCGAGGGGTCCCAGACTGCGAGAAGGCACAGGCTGGGCTGAGGGATCCCCTCGAGTGCACAAATTTTTGTGCACTGGGCCTCTACTTTATTCATAATCTGGAAAGATAAGGCACCAGATGGTAGGTTACTTTCTATATTAACCTTTGGACTTTATTGGTAAATTTATTGGTAAATTAAGTCCTTGCCTGACTTTACCCTTCACAAATGACTTTGGACACAAATGACTCATTAGACCCCCTTGGCTTCAATAAAACTATCCTTCTCTCTCTCTCTCTCTTCCCTTCCCATCCTTTCTGGCCACCCTGGGGATTGCTGAGTCCTCCTCGAATGAGCTCTAAAAGTTGGCGTCTACAGGGCTTGGTTCTAGCCTGTCCTCAATTCTCTACACGCTCCCTTGGGTGATCCCACATTTTACGGCTTTGAGCTCCATCTCTTTCTAACAGTTTCCAAATTAGTAGCCCTAGCCCAGTTCTCTCCTCTGAGTTCTGCCTCCTTTATCCAATTGCTACTTGACATCTCCACTGGGCTCTCCTATAGGACCCCAGACTTAACATGTCCAAATTTTCAGTTTTCCCTCTTAAATCTGTAAGATTTCTGTTTACCTCTCAACTTGGTAAATGGTTGTGCTGCTTACTACGCTCTTCAAACCCAAACCCAGGAGTCAGCTTTGATACCACAGCTAGCACCTGCTGCCCAAGAAATCCTCCAGTCTGATCATGCACCTGGCACCCACCTGCTTCTCTCCACCTCCACAACCACCATCGGGTACGAGACAGCCTCTTCTCTTGCCTGTACTTATTTTACAGATAATCTACTAGCAACTTTCCCCTCATTCATTCTTGGGCCTTATACCCCCACCCATTTGACACACAACAGCCAGAGTGACCTTTTATTTACTTATTAAACCTGAATGAAGAATGTATTCGGAACTAAGGAAGGCAAGCTTTTGCTTCTGAGGAGCTTATACTTCAACTGGAGTGACTAATGCATAAGAAACAAAGTAATCATTGATTCAGTGTAACTAAGCGAATGTTGGTATAGAGAATTCTATAAATATAGGTGCTGGAGAAGGTAAAGCAAACAAAAATTCAGCATGGGGGCCGTTGGGTTCGAGAGGATCTTCTTAGAGCTGATGGCCATGTGAGAGAAGTCAGTACTTATTGAGCACCTACTAAATTCCAGACACATACATGAACTGATTTAGTCTTCACAGCAACTCTATGCACAGATGTTCTACAGATGAGAACCCTGAGGCTCAAGAGTTCTGAATAATATGTATCTTCAGGGACTGCTGTGAGGAGTAAATGAAATGCTTACAAAGTAATTTGCAAATACTTGAAACTAGGTAAATGTTTAATAATTATAAGCTGCTATTATTATGATTGTTATTATTATTATAAAAGTGTATGAAGTCCAAATAAATTATGGAGACATTAAGGATTTAATAATCCAGCCCAGCCGGTGTTGCTCAGTGGTTGAACGTAGACGCATGAACCAGGAGGTCACTGGTTCGATTCCCAGTCAGGGCACATGCCTGGGTTGCGGGCTCGATCCCCAGTAGGGGGTGTGCAGGAGGCAGCCAATCGATGTTTCTTTCTCATCGATGTTTCTATCTCTCTATCCCTCTCCCTTCCTCTCTCTAAAATCAATAAAAAATATTTTTAAAAAGGATTTAATAACCCAGAGATGGAGCAAAGATTCCCACTTTTAGGACTCTAGCACCAAGACATAAAAACATATGAAGGTGTATGGACAAGGACCTTTATCACTGAATATTTTGAAATAGTAAAACCAGAAATAGCCTGTAGGTCTATCAATAAAGGAAGGATTGCATTAGTTTAAATGGTTGCATATGGAACAAATTGCATCTACTTGTGTAGATGTGCAGACATATCATTAAGCTGGTTGCAGAACAAAAAAAGCCTAGTAAGTCTCTCTACGTGTTCATATATGCTTGCATGTATTTGTGTAAAGATAGGAAAACATAGAAGGATATACAAGTTAACAACTTACTTTTCTGGTGGATTGGAGATGGAAAAATTATTAAATTTTAGATCATACACATTTGCATGGTAACAATCCTTTGGATTAAAATAAATAAACATGAAAGAATTTGAGCTGGGCTGTGGAAGGTGGAAAAAGTCTGATAACCAGAGAGAAATGAGAGGACCCAGGGAGAGATGATGGATGGTATCAATGGTTTTGGGTAAGGCCAGGTGAGGAAGCAGGAAAGTTGGCAGGCATGGAGACTTAACGAAGACAAGGTTAAAATAAAGTACAGGAAGCTTCTAGGGATAGCAGATTCATCAAGATTGTATGTCATTGTTTTCACTTTCTTTTTTTTGGTTAATCCTCACCCGAGAATATCTTTTCCATTGATTTTTAGAGAGAGGAAGGGTGGAGTGGGGGAGAGAGAGAGAAAGAGAACATCGATGTGAGAGAGACATCGATTAGTTGCCTCCTGCACACACCCCAACTGGACCAGGGATTGCGAACCTGCAACCCAGGTATGTGTCCTTGACTGGGACTTGAACTTTGACCCTTCGGTGTGTGGGCCAACACTTTACCCACTGAGCACACTGGCTAGGGTGTTTTCAACTTCTTTTATGATCCCATGCCAATTTAAGTTTGGGGAATCAGCATAAGACTTCACCAGGCAGGTGGAGGGGACATCCTTTGTCCTCATCTCTATTTGCTCCCTTGGATGGGGAAGCTTCCAAATTTTACTGGATTCATGTGAGAAGAAGCTTTATCTCTATCCTGGGGGATCCAGTGAGGGCAGGAGACATTGGAGAGACACAGGGAGCCTGCTTCCCAATGTCCTCGAGTTGCCTTGTCTCTCAAACACACATCACAGACATTCCTGAGCTAATTTCTTTCCTGAGGGAGGCCAGAAGTTCTCCTTAAGCCTCTGGATTTTCTTCAGGAATAGCAGAAACCCTGGGAGCCTTTCAAAGGAATTACTGATAGGAACTGTGGAGAAGTGAAGTTAGAGCTTCAGGAACAATGTCTTGCAGATGGCTTTCGTGGGGCTGCTTTGAGAGCGCGACCCATCTTGCATCTGGGAAACCTGTTGAGGCAGCAGCAGCAGTAGGATCTCAAGATTGACTGTCATTATGGACAAGTCTAGAATGATCAGGAAGGGCCACGACCATGGCCTTGATTTGACCACATCCTAATCATCAAGTTATTCTGAATTATACACTCGTGTCTCCATTTCTTTACTTTGTGAAAAGAAGAAAGTTTAGATCTGTGTACTTCATTTCCCCCCTTTATTTTCCAGGACTGTGTGAAAGAAGCTACCTCTCAGAAGGGGGACAATCTACATGGTAAGGTGATCCTTAAAAGAATGTTAAGCTCATATAGACATTCCTTTGAGTGCGTTATGCATCAAAGTGATAAGTCAGAGCAAAAATGTACCCTGGAGACCTAGCTTGTGTCAATGCGTACAACCTGTTCTTAGGGAACTCTTACCCCTTTTGAGAAGGAGTAGCACCAGCAAAGGTCCTGTACCCGGTGTGAGTGTCCCTGACCTTCTCTGCAATGTTGTAAAGCTGGGCTTGCCTGCTGTACTGAGTTGGCCTCTCTGTCCTGGCCCTAGATCTAGCACCACCCAATTTTTGACTCCTCCTAGGAAAGCAGAAATCCCTCCTTCACAGATAGCACTAACTTGCAGAATTCCGTGATGCAGCTCAGTATCCTTGTACTGATTGCCATTAGTGATGTATACTACACTCTGCACACGCCGGTACATCCAGAGCTACCTCGTTCTATGTAGTAGATGCAATTTGGTCTGTAGGATGGGCATATATAACTAATTCAACCATCTCTTTATTGATGTACTTTCCAGTTATTTCTGGGCCAGCTCTGTGAAAGAACTGAATATCCACAACAAAAAAAACCACCCCAAAACACACACAAGCATACATAAAGAAAGAAAGGAAGAAAGAAAAAAGAACTGAATATTCAGCACTGAATACAATAGATGAGCTCTCTGTCCCCCCCAAATTTCCCGAAATAATAATTAAAATAAAAATTTTAATGATAATAATTGCAGTTGACATGTGCTGAAAAATTACATGTAATATATATTAATCATTCAATCCTCATAGTATCCTATCTAATAATAGACAAACATGGTAATTGACCATACCTTCGCTATGCCTCCCATGGGCTAATCAGGGAGATATGCAAATTAACTGCCAACAAAGATGGCGGTTAATTTGCATACATAGGCGCGAAGCGGCAGAGCGAAGACAGCAGCAAAGGCTTGAAGGCGGCTCCGGCTGGAGCGAAGGCCTGGGTCCCGGGTGCTGGAGGAAAACCGGTGCCGGCAGCCAGGGGAAGGGAAGGCCTATTGCACGAATCTTTTCGTGCAACAGGCCTCTAGTATAATATATAATCTTTGTACCAACCTTATAAAGAAGATATTATCATCATCCTCATTTTATAGATTAACGAACTTAGCCACAGATATGTAACAACAGGCAGCAGTAGGGATTTAAAATTCTGTCGATGCCCTGCAGCCAAGACCTTGAGGGACATACCTGTTGTGAATAAAACTGGGTTTATTGACTGTGCCCACGAGGGAATAGCACATCACGAGAAACCAATGGGTATTTCAGAATGTGGTGTTGGAAAGGACTTTTTAAAAAAAATGTTTCTATTGAATTTTAGAGAGAGAAAAGGAGAGGGAGAGAGAGAGAGAAACATCAATGACGAGAGAGAAACATTGATCAGCTGCCTCCTGTATGCCCCCTACTGGGGATCAAAACTGAAACCTGGGCATGTGCCCTGACTGGGAATCGAACCAGTGACCTCTTGGTGCATGGATGATGCTCAACCAACTGAGCCACACAGGCAGGCAGAAAGGACTTTTTATAGGATGTAGGCTAGTGAGAGGTGATTTTGGGGAAAGTAGTAACTTTCCGAAGGCAACTTTCCAAGGATGTGTAGTCACTGCATTTCAGCTGCTTTCTTTAAATGCCACATTCACTCCCTCCCAGATTTGTCATGCAGACATGGAGTGACAGTCCACCTGGATGGCGCCCTGGTTAACAGAGACCCAGTGAATGTCCCTGGAGTTGCTGACTCTGCCATTTGCTCAGCACGTAAGTGTGGTGTGGACCTTGGATCACAGGAGAAGTGGTGGGAACAGGGCATGTATGGAGAGAGAGTTTTGTAGCACAGGTTTTTACAGCAATTTATGGAGGTATAATTTACACAGAGTAAATAAGCTCAATGACTTTTACACATCTACACATACGTGACCACCATCTAGGTAAAGATATGGCACATTTCCATCTCCTTACAAGTTCTCACTGCCCCTCCCCTAAGGGAACCACTCTCCAGACTTTTACCAACATCGGTTAATCTTGTCTGTTCTTGAACTTTATATAATGTACTCATATTGCATGTAATTTTGTGTTTGGCTTCTTTTAATTAGCATATTTTGGAGATCTAGCCATGTTGCATATCAGTAGTTCATTCTTTTCTTTTCTTTTTTTTTAAATTGCTGAGTTGTATTCTATTTTATGAATATACCACTCCGAGTTATTTTATTGTTATTATTATTTTAAAGAACAGTTTACTGATTTTTAGAGGGAGAGGAAGGGGGAGAGAGAGAAACATCGATGTGAGAGCAATGCATCCATTGGCTGCCTCCTGCAAGCCCCTTACTGGGGATTGAGCCTGCAATCCGGGCATGTGCCCTTGACCTAGAATTGAGTGAGCAACCTCCTGGTGCACGGGATGACACCCAACCAATGGAGCCACACTGGCCAGGGCCACTCATGGTCCTGCCTTAGCCCATGGACTTCATGTCCCAGTACTTACCTTTGGTAGCAAAATGAGAGGAATGCTAAGGACCAAGACCAGTGAAAGCCAAGTTTAACATTTTCATGTTCCTGGGCAATCTCAAGCCCTTGACATACCTCTTAATTTGTTCATGGTCCCTTTTGCGGCTTTTACTTTGATGGGTAGCTTCTGGCCAGGACTACAGTTCTATTGGGTCAGAGCACTGATGCCATTTTCTATAAAAACTGACAAGGAAGAGAATCGATCAAACTCGTCTCCATCTTTGTGTCAACTATAAAAAGAGACTTGGAATGTGTCCTTTTGTCCTCCAGGGGAGCAGCTGCAGGCCACAGGATCTGAGCCGAACCCTGGGATGTCAGAACTAAAGGTCCTGCTCCTGGGGAAGCGTGGCGTTGGAAAAAGCACAGCCGGAAACAGCCTTCTGGGGAAGCGAGTCTTTGAGACCAAATTCAGTGACCACTCAGTAACCAAGAAGTTTAAGTCTGAGAGCAGAATCTGGAGAGGGAGGAAAATTTTGATCATTGATGGCCCAGACTTACTATCTGATTTAAAGGACTTTAAATCAGACCTTCGGAAACATGCCTCTCGGGGGCCCCATGCCTTCCTGCTGGTGACCCCACTGGGCTCCTTCACTGAATATGCAGAGATGCTGAGCACCATCCAAGAAAGTTTTGAAGACGAATTAACTAAGTATATGATTGTACTCCTCACAAGGAAAGAAGATCTAGAGGATCAGAACGTAGACACGTTTTTAACCAGCAATGGAGCCCTCTGTGAGCTTGTCAAGAAATGTGAAAACCGATACAGCATCTCCAACTACAGAGCGACAGAAAGAGAGGAACAATGCCAGGCGGATGAGCTCCTGCAAAAAATTGTGAAAATGGTGCAGCAGAATGGAGACAAGTCTTGCAACTTCAAAAAGGAAGGTAAGAAAACATTTAATATAACATCGATGAGAGAGAAACATCGATCAGCTGCCTCCTGCACATCTCCTACTGGGGATGTGCCCGCAACCCTGGTACATGCCCTTGACCGGAATCGAACCTGGGACCTTTCAGTCCGCAGGCCGATGCTCTATCCACTGAGCCAAACCAGTTTTGGCTTTATTGTTATTATTATTTTAAAGAACAATTTATTGATTTTTAGAGGGAGAGGAAGAGGGAGAGAAACATCGATGTGAGAGCAATGCATCCATTGGCCGACTAAGTTTTCTCTTTCTCCTTTCTCCAATTTAATTAAACTTATTTGCCTTTCCTTGCATACTGTGCTGACCTGGTCTTTAATTCTATCATGAACCATACCTCATCTCTCCAACTGGATGGTGAGGGCCGTGAAGGAAGGAGTTGACCTTTTCCAGCCTCTTGTTTTGGGTACAGTTTTCAACCTCTTTTGCCCAGGGCTCAGCACTCATTGTTGGTGATGAGATAGCTCTTGACCATTGGTTTACTTTCTCTGTCTTAAGTTCAACTCTCTCTCTCTCCCTTTTATTTTATTTTTTAATTTCAGAGAGAAGAAGGGAAAGGGAGAGAGAGATAGAAACATCAATGGTGAGAGAGAGCCATCAATTGACTGCCTCCTGCATGCCCCCTACTGGGGATTGAGCCTTCAATCCAGGCATGTGCCTCAATTGGGAATAGAACTGTGATCTCCTGGTTCATGGGTTGATATTCAACCACTGAGCCACACCAGCCAGGCTCTCCCGCTCTCTTTCTTGACTTTGTTTATTCTCTTGCTTCTTTACTCTTCTCTCTATTGGAGAGGGGAGGCCATTTTGACGGAACAAGAACTGGGAGCCTGAATGCTCATGATGGGTGGGCCCCGCATGGCTATAGATGGGATTTATTTATTAGCCTAGCCACACAACCCTATATACTGCTGAAACAGAAGTTCCCGTCCACTAAGTGCTATGCATTCTATTGACCTGAGCTGAGATCCTTCCAGCCCAGCATGACTCATCCCATTCTCTTGTGCTTCAAATGTGCTCACCTGGGAAGAACATCAGGCCTAAAGGAGCATATCTGTTCATTGAGCCATTTCCTATTCCTCATGGAGGGCCAGGTGTTGGGGAGCTTCCTAAGGAAGTACAGCCCTAGCTGGTTTGGCTCAGTGGATAGAGCACCAATCTGAGGACTGAAGGGTCCCGGGTTCAATTCCGGTCAAGGGCACATGCCCAGGTTGTGGGCTCGATCCCCAGTAGGGGGCATGCAGAAGGCAGCTGATCAATGATTTGCTCTCATCATTGATGTTTCTCTCTCTCTCTCTTCCTTCCTCT